ACACACACACACACACACACACACACACACACACATTGTCCCAAAGCTCAAGCATCCCGATTTTCCCGATTTCGACCGCCAGTATCCTGACATTTTTGTTGTTGCGTCTGCTGCGTTTGATTCTTTGAAAAAAATTTATTCGATCTCTTGGACTTTATATAAGCAGTAAATTGACGTTAACACCTATGCTTTCTAATTTCTGAAAAGGGATAGCTGGCTGGATAGTATTAAAGGCTGAGGAAAAATCAACAAACAGGATCCTACAGTATGTTTTTGGCTTGTCTAAGTGTCTATAATATGTTGTCAAGAAATAGTCGAATGGCGTCTTCCACACTTCTCCCGTGACGATATGCGAATTGTAGAGGGTCCTGGATGGGTTCTATGTAAGTTCGTAGTCTTATAGCACAATTTGGTTGTTTTTTTTACATTTTATAACTACGGATGTTAAGGCTATTGGCCTTAGGTCATTCATTTCAGTAATTTTTTCTTTCTCTGGAAGGGGGACGATTTCATAACATTTCCAAATAGTGGGAATAACATGTGTCAACAACGACTGGTTGGTAATATAGGTGTATATAAAACTAAGTTGTGCTGAACACATTTTCAGAATTTTCGTTTTGCACACCGTCTGGACCACACGCCTTTCTCACATTCACACGTCCAAACACACATCTAACCTCATGTTCTTCAACAACAACAGCATTATTTTCATTTGTGTCGGTGTTCACACATGGCAATCACACGGACTGCCTTTGTCAAAAATGGCAGAAAAAGGCATTAAGTCTGTTAGCCTAGCTCTCTTCGTTGTCAACACATATGTTTGTTGGTTTATTTTTGTTGCCCACTATGGTCTTAAGCCCAGTCCATATCTCTCGAGAGTTATTTTAACGAAACAGATCTTCCAGTTTCTTTTTATATTTTTGTTTTTCAACCCAGATTGCTTTCTTAATAGCTTGGTCTATGACTTTTAGTTCTGTTTTGTTATGGTTTTTAAAAGCCTTTTTCTTTTTATGGATTAGGTCTTTGACTCCAGAATTTACCCACGGTTTAGAGTTAGGGAAGATAGTAACTTGTTTTTTAAGGGCCACTATATCGACCGGTACACAAAATTTAACATAGTCTGTGACTGTTGTACATAAATCATTGATATCCCAACATGCATGGGGGCTCCAGCGGCTAAGTGAGTATTGAGTTTTGACTCAAGCAATGTCAAGCAAGTGTCGGTGACACGGAGATCAGATGGGTGGTCACTGGAGTGTGTCCTTGAGCAAGACACGACAACCCTAGCTCAAATTACAGGGCGCTGCACAGTGGCATTGTTTGTAAACTGTTCTGTATTTGTGTAATAGTGTGTATTTATGTATGCATGTATGCATTTATGCATGTATGTATTTATGTATGTACGTATTTATAATTATGTATTTATGTATGTATGTTTGCCTTT